TGCCATCTTGTAGAGCTTGCTTTGCTCTATCGAATGGTACCTTGCAGCCTACTTAGAAATGAGAAGTGTATGACTTATTGCGGTTGAAATTCAAAACCTGCATTAATTTCCGGACAACCTAATACAAGCCCTTAGGAGTATAAAACATAAGAAAGAGGTAAAATTTTATCCTTATGTTTGTGTTTTCAGCTTCACAGATGTTGACATTAAAAAAACTGGGCAGTGTAAGGAGGAAGGACCGTTTTGATCTAATAGGTGATCTGATATTGTGATCTGCGCGCACCAAAGCGCTTGTTGATTGTTTTTCTTTCGTTGTTGTTGCCGTTATTATTGACGACGAGGAGCGGCGGTGGCCGCATTGTTATTTTCTTTTATTTCTGTTTTTTTTTCTTCGTGAGTCTTTTCTTGTACTGCCCACAAGGCAGGCTTGTGCTTTTCCAGTGTTCTTTTTTTTCGTTAGTAAAATTTCGTTATTCTTCTGTAGCAAATCCTTCTAGCCCACGTGGCCCGCCACCCAAATCATATTTTTACAGGCAGTAGATATCAACAGTATTTTTCACAAAATGTCTAAAACGGAACACGCTTACAAGCGCAAAACTACAGGTTTCCAGCCCAGTCGCCACAAAGGTTGTTCAAAAACAACCAAGTTTCGAATGTAACGTCCACCAAGAAGAACATAAACTAGGAAAGAGTTATTTATGGAAATACAAAGTTCAGTTTTACTATGTTAAAATGCACGTCAAAGCCATCTAGTTTTTGATGCATACTATAAAATTTTACCCCTTTCTTATGTCTGTGTTTTCAGCTTCACAGATGTTGACATCAAAAAAAACTGGGCAGCAGATATTTTTCACAAAAGTGAAAAAATATCTAAAACGGAAAACGCTTACAAACGCAAAACTACAAGGTTTCCAGCTCAGTCGCCACAACCGCTGCGGCTTCTAAACCGCGTTTAGAGGTTATGTTATCCATCATATGATCGCCAAGTTGACATAAACTTCACCGGCAAGATCTGTATTTCTTGACCTCTGACTGTACCAGCATTATTCAGAGCACATGGAGGTAGCATCACTCCCCGCTTGAATTCCCGTTCATGGAGGACAACCCCTGCTCATCAAAATGTGGAGAGCTTGAAAGCGCACTAAAAGTATTGGAAAAAACCTCGACATCAACTACCAGTCTTTTTCCGGCGGAAGTGTTCCGCAGTAGTCTAAGAGTCTGTATGATGAAGCATTTACGAACCCTGGATTCATGTTGCTGTTTGTGTGTGTCAAAAACTGCTAGCTTTATAACTTTTCAAGTTGGAGTGAAACTAGCTGAAAATCAGTCCTTCTGAACTTTAAGCCATTTTCGAGATGGGGTCAGAGCTATACGCTCAATGTTTGAAGGCCATGAGGTGAACACCTCTAGAAAACTTCCAAAGTCTTTATTTGAAGTACTACTCTGAAAAGCCAGAAATTTTCGCGGTCTCTACAATAACTAGCCAAAAGTCAACGAACAATTTGGAAGGATAATCTCTAAGATTTATCCAAGAATGTTCTAAGCAAATAAAAAAGTAGTGCAAATTTAAAGTCTGTTCTAGGTATGCAATCTCCACTCGAAATTTATTCACCAGGGAATGAATGATCGAAACTTAACTTAGCTATATCAAACAAGTTATGCATCATCAGACTCGCATTGAAACGCTGATCTCAAGCACATGTTTATTATCTGCCAAACGACTCCCTGGAAAATGATTGAGAGCTTGAATGGCGATTTGTCAATTATTTTGTGGCGCATATTCCACGAAAATTTCAAAAGACTTGCTTAGGTTTTTGGTAAATGTGCTTCTTCCATGCAACTAAAATACCCATGGCCATTGTAATTCTGCGCCTTTCAACTATATATCTGATGAAACTCGAATAAATGCTTATATTTGAACGCTGATAACTCGTTTGAGATAATTTTGAAATCAGCGCTCCACCGTAACAGAGCTTTTTAATGGCTGGGTTAGTTCTGACCATTTCCTCGTCAGTTCCATTCCAAGAAAGTCATGAGTACTGTTCTCTGTGCTCATAGAGATACTAATTTAGCTATCGCTATCTTGTTGTCACCATAAAAGGGAAGCGTCCTTCAGTAAATAAATTTTTTTGACATCAAGTCATTCTGTTACACAAGCAAGCATTCGATAGATAGACATAAAGCCAAAAAAGTGATTATTATCATTAGTGATTACTATTTGAGGCAGCATTCACTAAGAATGTGCCGATCAAAATAACAACTTTCTACGTACTTTTAAAAGTTTTCAAAGAGGCTGCTTGAAAAAATGAAGAATTACTAGAACTATGTATATGTCGCACCCTTTTGCTTTTTAGGATAGAAAAATATTTTAATTCTTTGATACGTATCTCACCTGTGCAAACCCGACAAAAAGCATAAAGTGGAGAAAGTATTGTAAGCAAAGGCTTTTTGCCAGTTTCCTTGTACAAAGTGAAAACTATAATTTGTAACATTAGCGTAAATGTAAATGAGAGCCTAAGAAGGTTGCTATTGACCGTGATCAAGTAAAAAGAATGCTGCAAAATTGCCTCTGCGAGGCCTAGCTTAGAGGAGTAGCGGAAGTGTATAAAACGGAGAAAGGGTAAAAATGAGCCTGAGTCCTCCTCAACCTCATGCGTAAGCCCTATAACTATTAGTGTGATCGGTAAAAGATGGGACATCTAGAGAAAAATTGTAGAAAATTTATTTTTTCAAGAAAAAAAGTAATTGAACTTTCCAATTCTGATAGCTATAATATAACATTTTCTATCAGATAGTTACTATAGAATTGATTTACGTACTCAATAGTTTTTATGCTGGCTGAAATGCAAAGTTAATCACTACGAAAGTTATAAACTTTGAGCAGTATTGGCGCTGTGAAGCATGTGAGACTATCCAAAGTACCATTGCTGTAATGAGTGTTAAGAAAGTTACCAAACTTACGATGGATTGCTGGGCTCAGCTCTCAAAGTCAGGAGATGTGATCATTAACAGCCTCGAGAACGAAGCTAGGTATTATTTACTGCCTTGCAAGTGAACGCACATTTCCTGGCTGCTTTCTATCTTTCAGCTGTCCTCGGAAGATGTAGGTTGAAACATGATTTTTTGGTTTTATTGCGTCGAAAAATCGCGACTATTTAGGTATTTTGCTCTTCACCCAGAAATAAAAGGGAATCCTATATGCTCAATATATTGTTTGAAAGGGTATGAAGAGCTTTCTTGAATCATGTGTCAATTGCTTCATGACTACGATATAGAAGCGCAAGATTGAGAGATATTCAAAAACCCTATTCGAGTCCTTCACGGCGCCACACGTATGGTTGTGGGAGAGGAGCTTAACGCGTTACCAGAATAATAGCTCGGTTATGTAAGTGACGTTTAAGTTGCGAGCTGCTTGCTGTTGATCGGAACAAGAAAATGACAAAATGTAATAAAAATCAAGCTTTCCATTTTTACCGTTCACCCTAATATTTAGTTGACCTTCCCTTTGAACAGGGCCTTCCTCAAATAAAGACGCCAAGCTCTTATCTTTTTTGAAGATGTGTTAGCGTGCGCATATATAAGAATACGAGCTGGAATCCCGGGTCCCACCCGGTACGGAGCCAGTTCATCGTACTTGATCTCTCATGTAGCGAAATTCACCCTTCTTTTGACTCCGACTCGTCATGGGTTCGCTTCTACCGTCCTTACCATATCTTGATGACCAGCAGATCATTAATGAACTTCACCGCTCATTCTTCGTGGCTATGGAAAATGTGCACAGACACACATACACACAGATTTTCTGCTTTATATAAATAGAGATCGTGAGCAAGAGACTGGCTTATCTGTCGTCGTTGCTAGCTGCTGTCTATACTGTCTGTCACTGACGCCGCGGTTGATAAGTTTTCCTCATCACCACGTCTCAGTATATCTATCACGACTTCGGTTTTGTGTCGGCGTTGTCCGCAATAGAGTTTGTTGGGAGCGCAGGGACAGGGACTTATTGGGTTATCCAAGGGGATTCTCTAGGAGGAGGGGGGGGGGGGTGCTTTTCTTCTTGCGTTGAAAACTTTGATACCTAAAAACCACTGCCTTTTCTTGTTAGGGTTTTCGATTCACCAGTAAAAATAACTGCAAGGACCAGGGCTCAGCAGAGGTGGCGCTTATACATGCCGGATATCGTTTTCTAAGGGGAAAGCAAAGAGGAGCCCGTAAAGTTTCCACTCGGAAGCCTAACGAAATATCAGAAAGCACAACTCTAACAACCCTAACTCTTATCAATCCCGAATTTAAAAGTCTAGCAGAACTTTACCAGTTACAGGTGAATTAACACATTACAAGCACGACAATTCATAAACCTGTGCGCACACGATTTAAACGTGTCAAAACGCAATCTTTACGCATAAAAATATAGACAGTCGGATTGTCTACAACGAGTAAGCAATAATGAGCTACCAAATCTGGTGTGTACATCCGCGGCGATGATCAAAAGAAAAGTACAAAACCACTATCTTCGCATAAATTTCCAATTTTTTTCACGTGAACCTATTCATTAGATCAAGCTCAACCTACGAGTGCTCACCTTGACCTAAGTTTTGTTCACTAGGCTTTATCACGGCTCTTAATGATATGAAAACAGCCTTTTTTCGCATTTCGCGTTTTAATCTTTTTTCTTATCTTTTCTTCATTTCAACTAACTTTTTTCGTTGCGTATTCTTGAAACTTCCACAAACACTACAAAAGGTACCTCGTAATTTTTTGCAATGCCAAAGGAGACTTCGTTTTCGAATTTCTCATATGCCATTTCGTGCTGAGCACTGAAAGGACTTCATTACATCGTTTAGTATCAGTTGTGCTTTCAAAGTACTAATTACATCAAAGAGGTGACGCATTTTCCGCTGAGTGCTTTACGTCTGTTGTGAACAAAAAAATTCTGTTACATATTTTATTTTGCGATAAAGTATTATACAATAGAAGCAAAGATTACATGTACCCAATGAGACAAGAAAAATGAAATAATTAACAATGACTCGTGAAGTTACAACAGTAAAACGATCTTTTGAAGCGCCTGAGCGTTTTACGAATAATAAAAAACTAGCAATTGAGGAATATGCGATAAGAAGTTCAAAATAGAAGGTTTATAAGTTGACTAAATTTTTTCGACTTTTATTTTGACCGGACTTGAAACCGACCAAAGAATTTCGCGAAAAATCACAGTTTCTGAGAAAACGGGGACTTGTGAGTGAGAAGCGAGGGATGGAGAGTGTTGGAACCCGTTTTCGGCGACGAATACATATAATGACTAGAATCACTGCGGGGTTAATCATAGAACTATATTTGGTTTTTTTAAAATGGGTTTTCAATAATTTTTCTGGTTAAACATTATCGATGGCTGCATTACGGCTGGCTTGCAATCGAATGAGGGTGTCGAGTGGGTTGAAAGGTTGTTTTGGCAGCGATTGTCCAATCGTTTCTTTGATCGATAGTCTGGAACGACAAATTATCGATCAAAAATCAATTATTGATTGCTTTACTCGTGATATTGTGCCCTTACCTATTAAGGCATTCTTCTCCTGATGGTCCGTCCAGCCACGGCCAGTGTTCGCACACAATATCTGTCGGGTCTTCAAATGATCCACATCGGCCCAGCACTTTTACTCCTGTAAAAAAATTTATTTTTGAGAATCCACGCAAATTTACATAAAATTTAGGAAAGGCTTGAACTTTTCAGAAAAGTACGATTTAACTAACCTTCTCTGGCCACTTTGACCATGTATGGCACAATATTCTGATTCCATAGGCGTACAAACCACGTTCGTGATTCTTCCACACCTAGTGGACATTGAAGGAATATGCGAGGTCCGATAGTAACATCAAGGGAATTGGCTTTTTCAATGAAAGAGTTCACTGCCTGGAAAAAAATCACATGGGACAATGCGAAGAGTAACCAGTTCCAAGAGAATATGTTTTTTTCTTTACCGTAGAGCTTCTGATCACTAACAATTCATGCGATTGTTAGCTTTTTTGACCGAATATGTTATAAAAGGAAATTAGAATTTCTACGTTGTTTGAGCGTACCGTTAGGAAGCGTAAACGTTACCTGTAACACGATCGGCAAGAACTGAATGACTCGTACAAGCTCTGGAGGCGTTTGACGGGAGAGGCGGAACTCGGCTTCAATGATTCGACGGCGCAAGAATCTAAAATTTTTGACACTTATTGATGACCATTGCTTTATTACGAGGATTTCAAAGGAAACTGTCGGGACCTTCAAGAAATTAGTTAGTTGCATCGTTGATTAGAATAAACAATGAAAATTGCTCATCTCATTGTCAGTTGCCCTGGTTTCTATTTTCAATGACTCTAGTTAGAAAGAAAATGCTTATCAAGCTCAAGGTTTTGATTAAAGAAGAGCTTTTTTCTTTGAATTTTATTTACCGCACATCTACTGCAATCTCCTTGCAAGAATCGGTTTCCTTCTGATAATATTTTGGCAATGTTTTGATTAAGAATATACAGAAACTCCTAGGAAAGCATCTAGATGTAATTTGGTTTTCGAGAGCATTTTAAGGCGATAGAAATGTCGCTTGAAAAAAGGATATGAAGTATCAAACGCGAAACCCTAATCGAAAAGCAGCACTGAAGCTTTGATAGGCTTCAGCTCTAACAGCGTGATCCTATAAACAAAAAACACCTCCTAAAAGGAGCTCGGTGAGGGTATAAATCTATGCATTCAGCCCTCCATCAATAGTTTTACTTATGCAGCCATCAATTAATTTTTCCTTTTGGCTGTATGAATAATGTGAACTTGTAGGCCATTTTTTTCAAGCTTTTGCAGACAGGGCTCAAGTTTTGCGCTGCACTTCTTCCTAGGGATAATCATTGGGAAGCTCTGAAAGTTTCATGGTTTCCCATAGAAAATTCAGAGACGTGCATTTAGCATTCCCTTCGCAAACCACTAATTTTCTCGAACTTTCCAAGCACCAATTACAGTAATCCTTCAGCGAGTGACAAATTGGCTTGCAGCTTTCACGAGAGATATTTTTTTGTGAAAAACTAGAGAGCTTACCTGGACATGAATCCTTTGACACCATCCATTCGATTAGTGAGCAGGAACATTTTGAAGTTGTGGTGAACTTGCATTTCGGGTAGTTGACAGGCTCGATTCACCGTGCAAATCACAAATGGGCCGTCTGCAAAGAATAAATTATTGCAAAATACTAAAAAAAACTCGTTCTACAGTTTCCATGAGAAACAAGGGTAAAGCAATTTTCTAACAAATTTGCACAACAGGGTTCAAAAACCATACAAAAAACAATCCACATGCTCATGTCGGGCATGTGCTACTTCTTAGGTGGAGATTATGGTCGGAACAATCTTTGTCTAAGCAATATTTGGAAAATATTTGCGTGGTTTAGCTTGAAATCTCCAATGATTATTCATTTAGTCTAAGCCCCAATGCTTTGCTGCAAACGGAGTAAGCAACTATACGAAAAAGGGAACGATACAATATTCAGTACTTATTGATTTAAAAGTGTGATGACACTTCGGCTGGATAGAAACTTCCCGCAGGAAAAACATGAAATTCTAGAAAAGTTATGCAGAAATATCTATAGTTCCCGTACGAAATTAGTTTCCACTATTCAGGCATTTTTTCACGTCTCAAAGAGGTGAGACGATTTTTCCTCATTGAACAGGATTACAATTCGGTTGCAATTTTTGAGCGAAAAAGAACTTCAAACTTTCAGTCAAACTCTTGTGACGCAACTCAGCTTTTTATAACTTCTCGAAATTCATATTATTATAAAAAGGAGAACATGGATTGCGTATGAACGAATTAAAATGCGACATGAACACCTTTTCTTCAAACTAACAAAATATGTACAATACAAGATATAGCAGAGTATAGCAACAACTGCGGAATATGCTGCTTTTATACCCAAAACATCCAATTTGCAGCCGTTTTACTCCAAAAATGCCAGAATTGTTTGCATAAATTGCACAGAAGCCGCAAATTTCTTGGCTTACGTAAATCGTCTGCTCATGTAATAGCTGCACACCCCACTCTTTTAAAAATATTTACATGCCAGCGCGGACACCCCCACGATGGAAATGGCCATAATCAAATCGAAATGAAGCTGCACCTCCTCACCCTTCTTCGCCCCCCCCCCCTCCCCGCACACTCTACCCTGCAAACTCCGCCCACTTTTTGCAGTGGAAAAATAAGTACGGATTTTGACGCTTCTCTTGCTTTTTATGGCTACAAATAAGCAATTATCTGGCTTTTAGAATTCCATCATGATTGAGAGCAACAAAGAGAAAAAGTTTAAACGTTCACTATCTAAATAATCAATTTTTTCGCAGATCTTGACTTGAGCATTGCGTTAAAAAAACAAAGGGAATGTTCCTTTGCAAGAAACTGAACCACGTCAACTTTCTTGCATTCGAAATTGTTGCAAGTTTTTTTCTCTTGAATCGCAAAGAACTTTGTGCTGGCATGTACGGTAGCTTTTGTAATATGAAGCCTAATGCGACAAATTGCAAAAAAAATCGTGCACATAAAGCACTGCAAATGCAATTTCGACAAAAACCATATCAAATTGCGCTTAGCGCCTTTACAGAATGACATTTTAACATAAAAAAATATCGATTCAAATTATTTAATTAGGGATGAGGGGACTGGAACACATGAAAACATGGATTTCAATTACCTACGAAAGGGGAGGCGATAGGGACCACTTACGCACACAACAGTTTACTGCTATTAAATGTTCGCGAGCAGCAATTAAACTTTTCGACTTTTTGTTCCACACTTATATTTTTGTTAGAGTAAAAACTATACCTAACCATCGCAGAATTATATCTTCCATCAGAAAGTGAAAAACAATCGAAGTCCATCAGAAATTTTCAAGTGTTTGTGATCTCGTAGTCTAAAGAAATCTTACACATTCTCGTCATTCTAATCTATCACTAGCCTTGACTCCCATCTTTATTACAAATAAGCAGCTTTTCAATATCAAGTATACTAGGTGGTGAGGGCGTACATCTTTGGAAGCGGATAACTTGGGTATTACCATAAATTTAGCTGTGATTAATTCCGTGCTTACGTAAGTTGTGATGATTATGATGATTGAAATGTCACGCACATGTAGTAGATGGGATAATTTATGCCATAATATATTATTGCAAGGATCATTCCTAAGCTTTCGGTGAAAGGAGTTTCGGTGCCAGAATTCAAGAAAAAAAAGTTCCTTCCTCTTTTTCCAGTCTCATGATTACTCAAGCAGTCTCATTATACAACCTTTTAGAAGTTTTTTTTTCAGTAGCAAATTATGTAAAGTGCTGGCAGAATAAAGTTTTCAGCGAAATGTGTGGAGAAGCAAAGAATGCATAGAGGAGAAGGAGCTACTTCTCATTTTTTTTGAATACCGTAATCCTCTTATCACTCGAAATCCAACGCCAAAGAAGGCAAAACCAAATTCAAACTAAATGTTTAGTTGAACAATGACATATACTGATTTTATTTGACAGCTATAAGAAAGGAGGTCTGATAACGGCTTCAGGATGTAATCTCTTTCTTGCAGGAAAAAAATTTGGCTGACGTTCAAAAACAATTAAATGACACAGAGCATTCGATTGGAGCTGAATAGGCACACAAACTGGCCGCAAATGGGTTTTTGCTTTGAATCCAGCTGAAAGGAAAGCAGATTAGGGGCAGCATTGGCAAGATACACGCCCATAGTTTCCTCTAGGGAAATTCTTAGCATTTCGCCCTTTTTGTGCAGACTTGGTAATGAATCTTCGGGATTTAAGACTGCATGTTTTTCTCAGCGAACACGAGATTTGGCTTCATTGTGTTTGCAGAGGAAGCCCAAGCGAATCCACAAAAGAATACAATATGGGAAAAGTGCTTCCGACGGAGAAAGAGCCCATTGTCACTTAATGGGTCATTTTGCACAAGAACGTCTAGCTGGACATAATGGCCTTCAAGTGCAGTCGGGCATCTGCAAATCCAGTGCGCAGTAAAAAGTAAAAGTTTTGCAAACTCTGCAAATTCACAAAAAAGTCTAAGAGTTTTGGCAGAATTTCTCTCCCCATTATTTACCATTCAGATGCAAAAAAAATTTTTTGCATAGCTTAGCTGGAATTTTTCCCACCACTATCTGCTTTTCAGATGCGTAAGAACTCTTTCAAAAAGAGTTTCAAGGTCGAAGATTAAAGGCACAGGCTCGCAATGCAAAATTGAAATTCTTTTATTAGTAATGTTGAAAGTTTACTCGACAATTGCAAGAGCGGTTATATCGTAAAATTCTAAAATCGACAAAGGTTCTGTTGACATTTTTTAAAATCGATGAAAAGGATTCTATTAAGACATGTATTGGTATTGTACAATTGGTAGTGTTTAGAGCTCACTTAGACTCTTTAAAAAATCACTACAACTTTTTTCAAGGTCGCGAAGTAATAGATTTCATTTGTATATGTTACAGTAAGATCTTTTACCAAAATAATTTGATTTTGAATGTTTGGGTCGAGGATATGCCTATCAACAATAAAGTCTGTCCATAAAATGGGAACACTAGAGCTTCGGAATTGGGAGAATGAAGTCGAATTTTTTGGTGTTTTGACCTAAATCTTACCTTCACACTACCTCCCTGCTTCGAGCATTTAAAACGTCATTTGAAAAATTCTTCCATTTAGAAAGCCAACTAATGATAATGCTTTTAACGGTTTACACATACCATTGACGAATAAAAATACCGTAGCTCAGACGCAAAGGTATTTCGAAAAAATTGGGTTTAAAAAGCAAGAGAGAAATTCAAGTTTATTGTCAATTCAGTGGAAAGCGGTGAAAGCTGAGACTACATAGAAAAACATTTGCCAGCTAGCTGAATTCTGTTGGATAGTCAATAAATGGCAGAATAAGTGTGGCCCATTCCACATAATTATTTTGCTCATGCTTGCAGGATCTCAAGTTTCTGATGTATCACAAGACCCGTGTGTTGAATTATTTGCACAACGGAAACAAACTTAATCACCTAAGCCGTTCACTTTTACGAAAATATTGGCCACTGGCTTTTATACCAATGGTGGGGGGAGAATTCATGCCAAACTCTTTTTTACAGCTGAGCTTGCTTTCACAGCTGCCAGTAGTATACCAAGAGTTTCGAGAAAAAGCAAGAAATGGTTTTTCGAGTCGTCTTTGCTCTTTCGATCCAGAAAATACTAGTGACAACCTACTACCTACACCAGAAGTTACCTTCTGATAATGCTAGAAACACAAGTACCAATATTCCGAGGCTTTTATAGCAGTTCTTTATTAAAGGCAGCGGACAGGCAAAATGGACCCCTGTCAGATTTTGGTAGTTTCGGGTAGTGGACCCCCCAAGTACACCGTAGCCCCAGCCCCACATTCCAATTCATGCGCTAAGTCCTGAAAAAAGCGCTTCAAAACTCCACCAGCCCCGCCCACTTCCATTGAGTGGGCGTTATTGGTGGAAGTTTGAAGCGCTTTTTTCAGGACTTAGCGCATCAACTGGAAGTTGGGGTTGGGGCTACGGTGTAATTGGGGGGTCCACTACCCGAAACTACCAAAATCTGACAGGGGTCCATTTTGCCTGTCTACTGCCTTTAAGAGTTCGAATTTTGTAAGTTCAAAGCAAAACTGAAATTAAGTTTCATGAAATTCCTAATAAGGTTTTCTATGCTTCCTTCTCTGTAGTAAGTTCCTTAGATATTCTTGCCAACATCACTTCCGATTAGACGTCACCCGGAAACTTTTCTTGCATTGTAAGGACGAGAGTTGATCAAATAATCAGAAATAAGCGGTTTATGGTATGATAAGATCTTGGAAAATAAGCCGTAAAAACCTTATAAAACCTTAAGCTTCTCAGTCTTTGTAGTTTGTCAAAGAGATAAGTTTTTGGAGATTCCGAAAGGTGTTGGTATGTAGAAAACAGCACTTTAGCTGAATTTGACTGACAAGGAAATGAAAGCGTGTCGAGTTCCTGCGCGGAAATGTCAATTTTGACTGGATGTGAAAGGAGGGTGGAGTTATTCTGCATGGCTGAGCCTCGGCTAGGGCAAAAAGCATTGAATGCTTGCGGGAAGTCTACATGCGCTCTAATAAAGCCAGTGAAGCTCAAAAACTCAGAAAAACCTAAGCTACAGTACCCCTAAATAATTGCTAGTTTGCTTGAAAACTAACCATCATGGCTAAGCTCGACAGATGAGAACACAGACGAGACGAATGCGATACGATGTCTGGGAATGTTATCAATTAGCACAACTGCCGGTTCAGGAGACCTCAGAAGACTTTCCAGCTGCTTTTCCACCTGAAAAAAATACACATTTCAAAAAATTCGATTTGTTCACAATCACTTTCGGGTTTAAGGAAAATCAAAGATAATTCTCAAAACTTTTTTTTGCAGCCAAAATAAGAGGAATTTCTAAAGTTAAGTTGGCAATTCTACCCAGTAATCTCATACTCCTTTCACAAACGCAATTGGCTAAACTAGTTACTGGAAAGATAAACGATATTTATTTTCTTACAGCGCAATCGTCAACTATATCAATTCAGCAAAACCCACCCAAAAAACCCTTAACTTTCCAGCTTATATGCAAAAAAGTAGTACCATAAATTCAATGATTAGAAATTCATGCTATTTCACTTTGCCAAGTGTCCAATCACATATTATACAATGAGTCATGGAAAGCTTATTTTTGTCTTCAAGCTTAGCAGAATTTAAGCGGATTTTGAGCACTTTATTTGAAAATCTTGGATTAGTTGTATAGCAAATCCAAGATTTTAGCTGATCGGAAATGAATTCTAAGCCCCTTCAAATCCATAGATGTTTGTGATCGGAATCAAATGTGATTATACTGATGTCACAGAAATTTGAAGTTCAGCGCGATCCTTCCCTTTCTCCAGGGACAAATGAATTTTTCATTGGAATTTCATTCAAACGTTGTGTTTTTAGGTACAGAGCGTGCAAAGCACATTTCTGTTATTATAAAAGAGTGTTTTTTCGATTACGACTTGGAATAAAAAGCATCGAAAAAAACAGAGGTGACTATTGTCACTATACCTTCAAAAAATGCGATCGTATTGAAGATATTGGAACGTCTACTGGAACGTAAAATCTACCACACTAGGACGAACTTGATCTTTCGATCTCGTCACGAATAGTCACAGAGTGTATGAGTATCCACTATGTAAATAAATACTGTCAAGTACAGGTTTTACCTTATGTAATTATTCGCTTCAGTCTTCTCATTTTTCGAACTTTTAGCTCCTTGTGATTACTGGTTCTCTAACCTCGAGTTTGAATGCGAAAAAAGCACAGTGTTTAATTTCGCGTTAGTTGCGGAGAATACCAAGCATTAGCTTCATCATGAAAAAAAATGCTCCTTCTCTCACAAATGAAATCAATTTTCTCGGATGTAGAATTGCTTGGAGAAGGAGGAAATTGAAGAAATTGGATAGCTTTGTTCTTCTACAACTGCATTTATTCACAGACGATAGGCCAAGCGCAAGGAGGAAAACGAAAAAGTTGAGAAGAATTCTTATTTTCTTTTTTCGTTTAATAAGGCAAGGCTACCGTACCACTTGCAGGTCAAAAAGCTTAGTAAACCTAAAAAACCCTACCTTAACAATGCCTTTGTCGCAAGTGTCTTCCGGTATTTTTACATCAACAACGCCATTTCTGTCCAAGCCAATGCGAACAGAGACGTAAGCAGCCAACTGACGTGCTAGATTGCTCTGAAAATAACAAAATTACAAAGAAGAAGGGACAAGAAATGGCAAGAGCTACGTCATAACAAGGAAAAAGTGAAAGTATTGAAAAGGAATAAAAACAAATAATGAAAAAATCACAGATGTCCATTTTCTCAAGCATATGCACTAAGTTGTTTTTAGCTAAAAGCTAGTCATTGAAAATGATTTTTATTTGCTTATTTTTCTTAAATTTGAAAATTTCGAGAACTGCATTTCAAAGAAAGCGAATCTTCCTTATTACGAAAAACAATGAGATTTCCTTTCTAACAAAAAGTGATAACTAAAAACTGGGTCTTTCGTGAAAACTGTGGTTTTCAGGCTTTTTTTTTTGAAAAAAATAATGCATTTTCGAGCCCTCTCCAAAAAATTGTGACTTTCAGCCCTTAAAAATGGTGAATTTTTGAGCCTTTTCTCTGGAAAATTGTAAAATTTAGCCCTTTTTCCTTATTAGAAAGAGAATGGATTTTTGAGACTTTCTCTAATTGTAAATTTGAGGCCTTTGAGTAGATTTTTGAGCCCTTTCTCTAATAAATTGTGATTTAGTTTTTCATTCTTTCATAAAAAAAATAATCAATTTCAGACCATACTCGTACCTTTCCTATGCCAGTAGCACCAGACAGCACCAGCCTCCTATGTGAAAGCAAAAATTTGAGCAATTGTTCGAGCATTGTTCGCGGAAATAGGCACTCAAGTACCAAAGAATCTACAGCATGTTGGGCAGCACCTAAATAATTAACTTTCAAAAAATTACTCCACCCAGAGGGCCAATACCGTACCTCTCAAAAACATCCTAACAGTAGTCGTGGGAGCAAGCACATCGCCTGGCACTTGATTTGGAGCTGCGGCACCCTTCTCCCTGACCACATCTCCCATTTGATAACCTATCACACTTTCCGAGCAATGTAGCCCAAGATGATGGTCCGGATCGATGCGGCCTATGTAGGCCTCGAAAAGGGTGAAAATTTGCTGGTCCAGTTCTTCCCAGGTGGTTTCTTTCCCGGGAATGGCCAAGAAACCAATGATAATCTCGTTATCGGGACAAATCGCATTGCTTATCGTTCCACGTAGATCAACATTTACAGTGACTTTCACGGAATTGCAACCAGACGATCCTGAAGGAAACGGATTATTTATTTATTTATTTATTTATTATATGCACTCAAGGTGCGCCACTGAAAAAAGGAAGAACGCAGAAACACAAATATAAAGTCTAGCCAGTAACACAAATTGGGTAGAACTCGCTACCTGCTGACCAGACTTCTACAGTTGATAAAAATGGTGTTCAAAGAAGGCCAAAGCAAAAGGAATCACGTAAGACAGTAGTATAGTAGCATCGATTACTGAAAGGTTACGGTAATTGTGATAAAGTGACTTACTTTTGCTGGAGTAGCTTCCACTAGCACTACTCGGTGGAGCTTCATAGACAGGTTCCTCATCTCCAAGCATAGGGATGGAAGCTTGGGAGGATGCCCGGGATCCTCGACCAGCCAACAAGCGGGACATATCGTTCTTGAGTTGCTTGTTCTCATGCTAAACAGGATTCAATGAGGAAAAAATATTTTTTATTTAAGGGAGAATGGAAGGGGGAGGAGGACTCTCACCTTTAGCCTATTCACAGTTTCCCTGAGGATATCGACTTCTCTAGCCTTGTCCAGAGCATCTAAGCGGATGTCGGTAAGGGCCACATCGCGGTCTTCCAATTTCTTTTTCAGTTCGTCGACTTCAACCTCATCTAGCCTGCAACTACAGTGATAGAAAGGACAAACAAAGAAAATGCTACAATATTTCTGTTCCCTTCATTCTGAAATGAAATTTCTGGGTAAAATCGGATAAGCTTATAAGGCTCTTTTGAATTTTATGCATGGTGTGCACTTACATAGATTTTTGCGCGGGTTATATTACGGGTTACATTTTCAGTCTGTTTCCATGAAAACATCATTGAAATGTTAAAATTTTGAGAAAGTGAGTCATATCTAAGATTCTTTTTGAAGACTAGTATACTAGAAGTTATGAATACAAAATTTTTTAGATTCTGCCCAACCTGCTCGAAGATCCACTAATCGTATTGAGCGCATGATGTGGTGAACTTTCAGTATCCGACGTTCCACCACCTTTCTTCTTCTTTGAGAACGCCTTGGTTAGTGAAGAGCGGATCTAAAAGAGATGGAATATTTTACATTCACAATCACCGTGTATGCCACAACCGCTACAGTACACATTACGGTACTATACACATCACAATGGATAGATTACCTGGACATCTACTCCATTTGTCTGAAGAAAGAAGATATGGTGAATAATAAATTATTAGGGGAATGAAATGGTTTGTTAGAAACTTAAAGTTCTCACAAAACTTCTGCTTTATTACTCAATAGATCTGGATAGTCACGTACCCAGCTTTTCTTTGACTTCCCAAAGCTATTCAGGCTGCTCTTATCCGTTCGACTAGATTTACTGGACGAGGACATTGATGACCGATGACTAGCCATGGAAGCTACAGATTCCAGAGATGGCTGTCTCAGCAACTCCCCGGCTCCTTCCTGTAATCAGACATGGTTTTTCGACAAAAAAAAACCTGAAACAGTGGATATAAGTAAACGTGTACTCACAATGCTTTTCTTTGCGTCTCCACCTTGCGCAAGCCGTCCACTAACGAGACGTAGTTGATCTATCTCCTGCCGAAGTTTGTTCAGGTCGTCAGGCTGGAATGTCCGATAATCCAATGCTAACTCTTATTTTTAATGAAAATATGTCGTAAAGGATGTGCTACAGTAATGCAATGAAGTAGGGAGAAAATTCAAAAAGTAGTTCAATTTAGCTCTAACTTCCGCATCGTGCGCCGACAGTGAGTCTTACAAAATTTCAGCTGACAAAAATTCCTAAAAACGCTCATAACCACTAGCAGTTTGAATGAGAGGTCCGATGTAAGTAAAGGTGACGTCGCCGCCAAAGGCAAGATATATTTATCGAATGCCCACGACTAGTAGCAGTCGATCCGATAGACATATGGAGCTTTGTCATTCAAGATTCTCTAGATAAGCTCACGGAGCCTTTGAGGGCTGGATTCAGCAATAGCAGATAAAGCTCTAGGGGTATCAAGCTCTACAAGCCCAAGATATGTATAAAAAGAAGAGATCCCGTTCTGGAAAACGATGTCGATAAAATTTCGACACTTTCCGAAAAAGAACGCATTTTTTTCTTTATTTCATTACTCTTTCTAAGCACTAAATTGGACAGCAAGGGCATCGCAGATTTATGGTAGAGACCAGAAAATTTTATACAAATAGTACCACTATTTATTTTTCTTTACACTTGAAAACTGCACCGATACACACTTCCTTTTCTTTCTTTTTTTGTGCGCATTGAAAGATGTAAGAGACTTCCGTCACGTCTCACACCTACAATTGAGCTCCTAACTCATGGGAAAAAAATGGATTGCGACAAATTTTTCCGTCGCGACATATTTTTCTTCGCAAAACCGTCGCAATGCTATAACTTTTTGTAAACTAGTTTTCAAGAGAAACGGAGAACATCATTGGATTGCTGAGAACCTAGCGATTCAGAGCAACTGTAAAAATTTGAAAATTGTTTCTATTTGAGCTGTCGCGACGTATTTGTCGCGGCAAAACCGTCACATCGAATTAAGTTGAACTTGAACATAAATTCCATGGAGCAACAAGTAAATTTTTGGACTCCTGGCAGAATTTTGACTTAGAACATGCTTCAAAAAATCAAAAAAGCTCTTGCATGAAGCATTTAGTGATTATTTGAAATGTTTTCATCAAATTTAGGTCAAAGTTACGAAAATTTTGATTAAATCGCAAAATTTACATCAGAAATCGACAGCAATGAGCATTGCATTGTTTCATTGATAATTTCGGATCAGCAACTATGATGCAGGCTGATTTGGCCCCTCAAGAACGACCTAGCCTGCAGACTCGAACTGCGGAATTCAAGGCTGCATAAATTTGAAAATTATGAAGTGTTGAAATCCGCAGTTCGCGTCTGCAGGCTAGGTCGTTATTGAAGGGCCAAATCAGCCTGCATCATAGTTGCTGATCCGAAATTATCAACGAAACAACGCAATGCTCATTCTGTCGATTTCTGATATAAATTTTGCGATTTATTCAAATTTTTCGTAAATTTGACCTAAATTTGATGAAAATATTTTAAATAATCACTACATGCTTCGCGCAAGAGCTTATTGATTTTTTGAAGCATCTTCTAAGTCAAAATTCTGCCAGGAGTCCAAAAATCTACTTGTTACTCCATGCAACTTACGTTCAAGCAACTTAGCCCGGTGCGACGGTTTTGTCGCGACAAATACGTCGCGACAGCTCAAATAAAAGCAATTTTGAAATCTTAACAGTTTTTCCGAATCGTTAGGTTTTCAGCAGTCCAATGATGTTCTCCGTTTCTTTTGAAAACTAGTTTAAAAAAAGTTATAGCATTGCGACGGTTTTGCGAAGAAAAATATGTCGCGACGGAAAAATTTGTCGCAATCCGTTTTTTTTCCCATGAGTTAGGAGCTCAATTGTATTTCACATTCGATTACCTAATTGACTTCATATTATCCAATTCCTGCCCATAAATCATTCCCCTAACGTTCAACTCCATCTCCTCCATCCCCTCTCCCGACCTAACTTTACCCAAGAGACTCATTCACCACTGATGATTTGCATACGAATCATAACGCATTTCATTATCGAATGTGTCCACGTCCGTACGGTACGACAAATGACATCTGATTGACTGCTTGCGCGACTTGCGCGAAATTCATGAATATTCCATTCAAAGGATGAAAATTCTGATGTTTGTGCTCACCTTCAGTTGTGATTTGTCCACTTGTTTACTTAGCTGCGAAAGCTTATTTTGGAACATTTCCATAATATGCGAATAGTCTTCCTGTTTTCGTGTGAGTTTGCTGATCGTGTAGCGGTAACCTTCAAGTTCTCTTGCCATTTTTCGAATATCTGCTTCGTATTTGTCACCGAGCTAAAAGCATGAATTATAAAAACCGAAAACCTAATTTTTCTGGTAGAAAATAAAAAAATAATAGGGTTCAGAAAGTTATTTCTGCCGCTATTCAAAGAATACAGTACCAAAATACTTATAAAAATATTTGCGCGTTGAAATCTTTGTGATTTAAGCTACTCCCAAACTTTGCGTAACAGCCCCGCCCACTGCTCTAACTCCGCCCATAGCAGCCTTTAAAACGTCGATTTAAAAAGTGCACAAGTAACTCACTGATGTGCCTCCACTTGCTAACGATGCTTGTGATCCTAATATTTCTGCGCCTAAAAATTTTTGACTTTGCAAATCCTATTTTTCAAACGAGTTCTCAACACTGACCATCACTTTTGGTCAGAGCATGGCTCGGTGATAACTCGTCCGCAAGGCGATGAAGGTGTATGCCATCGCGGAAATTGGCATAGATTCTGTCCGAGTTTTGCGCTCCACGGGCGGATAAGGATCCTAGGAATTTATTAAGATACACAATACTTATAGAAATCTTGAAAAATAGGCTTATATTTCAAGACCTAGATAATTGATAAAAAATCAAAGTAAAAAAACAAATTTTAGATTTATGGCAAAAATAATTTTAGTTTCAACAAAAATTGAAGTTCTACTCTACTATAGGAAAGTTTCCAAACCAATCACCAAAACTCTGCGTCTCTAACACCGTAACAAACCCGACAAGCGTTTAGTTAAGCGGGAAAAGGGAAAATAAACTAAAACTGAAAGAAGAGAAGAGAACAGTGGTGAGAAGAAGCTAGTTACCCTTGCTATTGTTAGACGGACTGGCAACGGACAGTGGTAGACGCTGTTGACGACGTGGACTGGCGCCACGTCGTGACCTGGAAGATGGCGACGAGGCCATCGCCGATTCCAGTAGGACCATAGATCGTGACATACCAGACATCGCATCTAGTGAAGCTCTCGAAGCTGAAGAAGCACACGCAAATGCCACTATGGAGAAATTATGGGCACCATGGGACCCTGAGGCACTTTTTGGCCTCGTTGCGAGACAAGTTTGATTATCCAGGCAGATACAGGTGTGTGTTATCGTAATCGTACCGTAACCCTACCGTAACCATGACAGATTTACCGAGAAGTGCTACAGCGAGCAAGACAGTGCAAGTTGTTTGCAATGTAAGCCCGTAAGACGTAGAATTTTTCATGCTAGACTACCGGAAAACTCCACAAACTGCAATCAGTGTTCTTCGTGTATCGGCGTAGTGCCAAGGTCGTGCCAGAACCGTGCCAGCGTCGTGCCGGAATCCGCGTCTACAATACGCACATTGATCGAGCGTCCGTCGACACAGTTCCGGCACGGTGTTAGCACAACAGAAGGAGCAGGCACCAGAAACTCTAAACGCAGCTCTAAAGCGATGACACCTAAAACTTAAATCGAGAAAAATTTTCGAGCACAAAAAATTTGAATCTTCAAATGCAAAAATCAAAAGGGAGATCTAGTTCCATAGCTGTAAACTTCCGATTCAAAAATAACGATTCTTCTTAGACGAAAACGAAGAAAAACAGATGTGCTAACATTTTTAAAAATTGTTGCTCTCCTTCTATAACAAAGCCTCCCTCCCCTCTCGCATCCCAACCCGATCCGCTTGAATAGTCAACCTTGTCCCTATTCGGTCTCTCTACTAAAAAGCGGAAGCATGCGGAAAGCAGGACAAGCACATGCACAACAACAACAACTATATAGACTTGATGAACAAAGACTCAATAAATATTCCGATACTCCTGCAGAGAAAGTAATAATTACTGTAACTTACCGCTGACACTGTGTCTTTGCATACTGTCAGGTGGTGGTTGCGGTATCCGACGTGGGCTCAGCAATGCAGCCATGGATGTCCTGTCAAAAACTCCCAAACGATTCGGGGAACTTTCACGATAATAGTCAGAGAGGTGTGATTTCCTATCCAGAGAATGATAGCCGGCAAATGTGGGCACTGAAAGATTCATAGTTGATCAAAAGACAGAAAAAGAATTCTACTCAAATTGATTTTTTTAGAAAAGAGGACGCCAAGTACTGGCACCCCAACCGCTGTTACTATTCCAGCGCATTCTCACAAACTTTGTCTCAAGAAATAAGGTTTTCCTTGAGAAAAGTGTTGCCGTACCAGGCTATGCTAGGCCCTCTAATGATTTTAGCACAAAGTTCTAGGGAAATTATCGTACAAACACTCTAATCACGTCGTTGCAAGAAGTCTAAACTTAGTTAGCCTTGACAGCAATAATTAAGTTGTTGTGTGAAGGTCAACTGGATTTTCCCATGGTTGAATGGTACGAAACTTTTTGCAGAAACTTTTCTCCTTGAAGAACAAAGCTAATTCAAAAATTATGCAATCATTTCCCTCAAGAAAATTTCAACAGCATAAGAAAAAGCTTTATGAACACTTTAAAAAATTCATCTTTCTACAGAGCATCCTCATAAGAAAAAAATTTTTGTCATGTAAAATTCGTCTTCAAAAACGATATGTTCCTAATGACGATTTTTCCCAATTTTCAAAGCTTATCCTGGTCCCCAAAAATGGGAAAACACACAAAAAATTAGCTAGTTAGTTAGTTAGTTATATTCTTCTCATTCAAAACGTCAATCAAAGAAACTGCAGGATTAAATGTTTATTAGAGAGATAGAGAGCAAGACTGCTTTAAATTACAAATTACAACAAGCCATCGCGGCTGATAAGTCAAAAACTCTGGGTGCAAAAGAAACAGTTTATGTTACTGAGCAACGATCTAATTTATCAGCTTATCAGGCAAGTTGTACTTTTGCAAGTGCAACAATATCTTATTACGTTTGTCGTAAGATTCAAAATAAATTCTCGCTATGAAGACCAAGAGATAATGAGGGGTTAATTTATTCCTGTAAAGTACAAGGACTCCAAAAAATCAGCCAAGTATAGAATTTATGCAGTCTTTTCTAGTAAGACTGGAGCATGATATAAAATTATAAAAGCCACATTACTACAAGTTATAGTATAGCTTGTTGCTTCAAATAATAATACCTAGATAGGAGATAGCCATTTTGCCACAAAAATATGAGATAATACGACTTTCGTTGCCTTGAATTACGTCGTGGCTTATTAGTCAGGTAAATGAAAGAAGAGAAAATGAATATGTTCTATCACTCAAAACAATGACGAATCCTTTCACTTTGTTGATTAATTCAAGATTGAAATCCGGTATGTCCAGAAAATTTCAAAAAAAAAACTTAAAATTCTCAGATTTGAAACAGGTTTCTATGCAGACGGTTGCAAGACGATTGGTGAAATTCTATCAAATTTACATAGAGCCTAAAGTTTCAGTTTTATGAGCTAAGACAAGTTTTTCGCCTTATTACGTAGATTACCAAACTTAAAAAGCACTAATTCTGTTTAGTTCCCGCCTTCAATCCATTTGTGGACTAGTGTTCTCGTACTCGACAATAGCCATTGCGCTATAATTCGACTCTTCCGGACTAGAGCTCTCCAAGCAGCAGCGGCTACTACTAGCATAACTCGTCAACAAAAATCGTTAAGAACACAAGCATTCGTTACCCCCCCCCCCTCTCTCCCTCTCCTTTGCCTCCCATCGGTTTTATTTATACCGCAAAATTTAGCGCTAAGTCTTCTATTATTCTCTCTGACCTCGACCTGAGGGCTAAGTCCGCATTAGCGATGCGTTGCGTGCGTCATGATACGCTTTGACACTTCAAAGCAACTCGAAAATCGAGCGCGAGCGCTTTGTCTCTTGTCGAGTACGAGTTTTCGCGCATTGCTAATGTCGCGTGTCGAAAAAAGAGCCGAAACACGCAAAAGCGGCGAGCGCTTAGCGGTTCTTCAGCGCGGCTAAATGACCGCAAATCACGCCTTTCCTTTCCGGGAAAAAAATTGATGGTGAGCACGAGATATTGATCGGGTAAATGGAAAAATCAGGAAATTTGGCTTACGTGGCTGATCCTGGCGTTTGGACGATACTCGTAAGGAACTTCTTGAATGTACGCTTAATGTGTCACCATCAGCTGATAGGGCTAGTTGTGGACCATAGGTGGCGTAACCAGGGGAGCGAAGGGGCTGAAAAAATTATACATTGCAACAAAATCGATGGTTATCAAAGGATGCAAATTTTTGACAGAAAATAACCCGTAAGAACATGTGTGAAATTTGGCACTGAGAAGAAAACATGGACCAATTGATAAAAATCTGACCCAAGGCCAACGAGCTTCCTGCACTTCAGCGAGCATCCACTAACTATACACGATCTTGAGGCGAATTGTTTACGGCTGGCGCTGCGCCATAAACAGCTGACAATGCCCTCGGATCATTCATCATTAGCACTGCACACACTCAGTGCAGCGCTAAAATCACCTCTACACCGGTGGCGCAGAGCAAAAACAACAAAAAGTGGCGGATTGACCCCGGGTCAGAAGAGGGGGGTGGGGGAGGGGGGGGGGGTAAGACGGAATTTTTGGCAAAAAGCCAGAATATCAAAACTTAGGTCGCCCAACACACCTCTACTTAAGCTTCAATGGGGAAGTAACTTACTGAAAGAAATTATGTGCTAAATTAACTCTGACAAATCAAATTCGATTTTTTCTGTAAAATAATCTCGCGTTGAAAAACGACAAAATATCCAAATAAAGTTCTGAGAAGTCACAAATTTCTTTGGATGCAGATGGGGAAAGAAGGAAGGGTAGGGAAAGCTCTTTAGCTAACGGGAATGAGTGGCCAAGAATCTCCCATCAATGCATTTTTGATTGCAAATGCCCCCCTCTCCCACCCAGCCAGGTTTTTTATGTTTTGACCTTGAGTTCCAGTGTCCTTCAACCATTTTTACGAAAAATGAGTTCGGTTTGAGTTGCTTTAATTGAAAGAACTGGATGAAACGAGTAAAATTACCCACCATTGCAAAAGAAACCCAATTATGTTCGACTTTCCAGTAAAAAACGTTCGGACAACCCGAAAAAAATTCTATAGGCAATTTATGGTTGCTGGCTATTGGAGATTTTGACGAAAGATTATTTCAGGTGTAGGGAATAAAATATCATAGAGCTACAGAAACCCAGCTGACTGAATGGTACAGATTTAGCACGTTTTGGAGGCGGGGGGGGGGGGGGGGGAAGGAGGAGAGGGGGGAGGGGAAAGAGAGTTACTAGAACTTTTAGCGTTTTGAAAGGAGTGAGAATTTGAATTGTAACCTCTTTCTTGACCATAAGGAGAAAGAAACTCAAACCGACAATTTCATAACCATTTTGCCCTCAAATCGAACACCCCCCTCTTAATGCATCCCCCACGACGGCTCGATTCATTTCAAGAGTATGTCGTTCAGCTTAGAGCTCTTCCGGGCGGTCTCGACGGGGCTCTAATTTCTCGAGCAATTGATGACTTTTGCATGACGGGGTTCGCGCTATTATTGGCTTGTTTACGATCGCATGTTCCCTTGGAAGACGCTGCTAAGGGCGGAACCATAACGAAGATGGAAAGCTCGTCCATGTTCGGTTCGAGCGAAGGTCGAGGGGGGGGGGGGTTGGTCCGTTCACATCAATCACAATCGCTTTGCAAAACAGCTGTTTCGGCTGAAAGCGAGAACACCTATGGGAGAGAAAGTTTGCGTTCTTTGTTTACGATTCGTGGGAATGGTGATTGAAAGGTGGAAGACAAGATGTTCCCAAGGTTTGAACGGAACTGAAAGGAAAAATTGTCTCTTAGTTTCTCTCAACTTTTTTTGAAAGGGCGCGCAAAAAAGAAAAATGGCTACTTACTGTCCCAGATACTGGAGCATGAATGTAAAACAACCTCTTTTCTCATCTCTTCATCTTTATAAGGATTTAACATCCTGCCCAATGATACTATCATAGTAATTTGCAAAACAAGAAACGAGCGATAGACGTATACTATAGCCATTTCCCTGACAATTTAATGGACGAAACTGTACCTCAAAAAGTGCTGTTTGATATTTGGCTATGATCAACGATTAATGCACTTTTTTGCGGAAGCATTTTACGATATCAGAAGCTATTCCTTCAGCAAAAGACTATTTCATTCATCAGGAGTAGAATTCGAATTCTGTGCAATAATGAGGGACCTATAATAGAATCACACTACCCAGCACTGCTTATATATTTTATGTGACAATTATAGAAAGAAATTTGTGCGAAAAGAACATGAAAAAAGGAGAAAGATCATCGCTAAAGTTGAAAGACGAAGTCTATACCAGACAAATCCAGCTCGATCAAGAAGGATATTTTTCCGTTACTCAGAAATTATTACCTACTTCGTAGATCAAAAGCTAGCCCGCTTAAAGTTCAACGATAGGGGTATGATTCTTCGAAAATTGTTTCAAAAATGCCTTTAAAAGTTTCTACAATCTTTGTTGTCTAGTTAGAAAAACAAAGGTATAAACATAGCCTTGAAAATGATAATCCGCTTCTTCAGGGAAATTTCTTGAGAGTTTGATCATTGAGGTTGAATTTAACACACCCTCAAGGGGGCGGAACTGATTTTGTAAAGCAGTATGTATGTAGCGAACTTCACATAAAAAGAATGGGCACTTTCTGGCTCTGTTTGAACAATCGGATGGAGATATATAGAACTACAGTCGGCAATTCCAAGCACTATTTTCTTTGTTTTCTCTGACTTCTACAAATAAGAATGGGAATAGTAGCCCGTAAAGACGTGCATAACACAGTATTCCCCTACTTTGTTGCCATACGAATAAATCAGGCAAAGAAACGCAAAGGACCATGTTCACTGAGGACAATGACGAAATAACGGATATGAGAATAAGCCCTTTTGAAGCCTCGAGAACAACAAGGTAAACATTTCGCAATAATTCTACGCTTTGACTAATAGTAGACCGCCCTCACCTACTATAATTAATTCATTCGAGGCGAACGTTTGAAGTGTCGCAAAGCTCTTTCGAAACCCGCATATAGCTCTAGTGAGCACAGGCTCTAAGCCCTTATGACTAACCTATGCCCTCCCTCCGTTCCCCCCCCCCCTCCCCGGTAAGAAATGAAACAAAGAGGTCCCTGAAAGGGGAGAAAAACTTCGGGGAGCAGAAGTCAAGGTTAATAGGGATGCTGACGGTAACATATGTGCACAACTTGGGACATTCGGACAGTATCATATGGCACGGCAAGGATGAATAGGCGCGGGAAGCGATAATACCATGTATGACCAGCCGTCCCATACGGTGGACGGGGGGGGGGGGGCTAAATAACCATAGGAGACTGTCAACTGTTGCGCTAATAAACGCAATGAAGAGCGCAAAATGTGCGGAAGCGCAGAGGGGCAGATTCAATTTCAAGACATCTGACATCTGCCCGGACGCACGTAAAAACGCCCGAGATGACATCGAAATGATTCCCCGGATGGGTTGAAATTTGAGACCAAGATGAAAGGAGAATAAAATTGGCAGCGGGCCCACCTGGCAAGCAGCTCCTCTTTGACTGGTTCGACATTGTTGCAGTAGTTGATGGATATTTTCCTGTTCAGCGATGCGTTTCGCTCGGCTATCGATGTTTGATGAGGAAGATCGCGGTCCTAAATGGGACTAGTTTATACTCAGGTATATAGGATGGCGAAAACCAGAAGTCTAGATCATAATTCAGCGGTTTTCGAGCTTGAAGAAAGTCAAAGCTGGATGAATGTTGTCAAAAGGCTAATACAAACGTGATCAATCAATACATTGATTTTACCTCTCCTTTATTTCCGAATACCTAGATGCAATTATTTCTAAGATTTCTCAACACTTGGGCTTTTTGGCCCAAAATAACCAAATCTAAACCTTTATTGCAATCTCAACGTATCAATCGATATATTGATTATTCCTCCAAATACGTGATTCCCGTGTACCTTTTATAACTCATATAATATAGATAGGCACATTGAGGGCAAAATACAGAATCCAAAAGAAAATCTGTACAGCAGTCTTTGCGCCCAAGTGCGAATCAATCGATATAGATTACTCGCTTGTCTCAAATACCGTAATCCTTCAAAGTATACACACCTTGTACATCTTTTTACAACGCACATTTGTGGGTGCAAAATAATCAACTTCAAAAAAACCCGAAAGGAAATTGAAGCTTTCGCGGCCAGAATAGATCGATAAATTGATTTTCTGCCTGTAAACTACCGTAATTCTCCAAAGCAAATCTAGTCAGACTTCATGATATAGATTGGGAACAAAATGCAAATTCGAAAGATAGAAATAGTGGCAGTTCAGGCGCTCAAATACGAACCAATCGATATATCTAATTTTACGTTCATTTTTACATACCGTAGTAACTCAGCCATATCTAGTGTCACTTGATACTTTTTATACCTCCCCCTCCCTCCCCCCTCCCACTGCTTTGCAGCTCCGTATGCAGAAATCCAATACTCATTTCACAGCTCATTCTCTTTTGGATTCGATTCCTAATACGAGAGAAGAACGCTTATGCTGCAATGCATCAATGCATTACAATTCTTCAAGCAAACAAAAAACATTTGACAGAACATAAAGCTTAGTGATGAGTGCAAAGTCAAAATGGAAAAATAAAAAAGCAAAAATTATTGTCTCCGCACGTCTTCGAGGAAAAAGAATTCTGAAACAAGCTTACACACATTTTACTGCTTGAGCCAAAAAATTACTAGGTTGAGATGTATCACTTTATGAATTTCTTCAAGAATTTGGCATTCTAGGTAAGTAATAATTTATTCCTTTTATTCCTGATTGCTATTTGCTGAGGCATGAGATTAGCTTCTAAAAATGCGTTTACAAAATCATGTGAAGGTGCGCTTCTCGCGGTCTATTCGCCAAAGAATACGGTTTAAATTCGTTTTGATCGGTTTACACAGTACAATTTGTGCGTGCGTATGATTTTTACAAGTCAAAAATCTATTTTTTATCTGAGAAGATATCTTACCTTTCAAAGTACTCCTTGTAAAATGCTGGTAATCGCCTAGTTTACCGTATGCAGCCGCAACGGTCGCCATTGGGTGATCCCTAAAAAAGATCGATGAACGAAGTACACAAATAAAAAGTGATTTAGGTCGCAACTTTGACTTATTATTATTGACATTGATGATAAATTAATGATAATAAATTACTACCCGAATGATAATGTATATCGTATTTTATCACTTAGTACATATTATAGTACATATTAAAGTACATATTATTATTATACGTATTATTTTGTGATTTTTGCAATCTATAACAAGTTACCAATTGAAGCATCAAAATTTGATAGTACAATAGTACATACTATTGCACGTTATCGACCGAATTTCATGCGTATGATTATGTCCGTTACTAAACTTACTATTGTTAGTATTATTATGCGCCTTACCACCTGCTACTTAGTGATATTAGATTAACAAAACAACATCACTTCTGCAGAATGCGATATTCTTTTGGCCCTTTGAGCTGTTCTGCTGGACTAGTATATACCTAGCTTGTAGCTTATTTCTTTAGCTGTTTTGATAACCTTTCGAGTTTAGTAACTAATTGATTAGATACTATGTATCTCTGTGTACAATACAAAGCTACTACATATAAAATTACTGCGTAACTTTAAAAATGAGGAAGACGAAAAATACGCAATTTTGCGATCTGCGTACTCTATCGAGAAGGGCTCTACTACTACGGTAGTATTAGAATTTTTCAATGAATTTTTCTATCTAATCAAATGGACTGAAAAAAGTAATGACTAAAATGGTTGTACAAACACTGCGGGTTGTACCTAATGACCCGCAGATTGCGTAGTATATAGTAAGGGAACATTATGAGACATGATTAAGTGTATATGCGTGTGTGCGCGAGTGCGGGTTGCTGGGATCGCAACCACCTGCTCGACCGGAGCCGAGCCGCACTCCATTTCGAGAACAATTACCCAATTAACTCTCTTCAAGCGTAACGCCACGCATGCGCTTGACATCGAGAGCTGGAAGGAGAAGCATTGGGGTCAGGGAATGTTTAGGAAATTTCTGGGATTTCTGGGCGGGAAATTCCTAAAGTTTCGGCGCCAAAAAAATAAGCCATGAAGGTTTGGAAAGTGGTAAGAAATTGTTTGAACTGAGTTTCTTCAATACTTTATTACTGTTGAATATAATCTCCCCTATCACCTTCGGGAAAAATTTGATGCCCACTCTTCAAAATCCACCCAGAACTGCCTTAAATTTCTGCAAAACGCATAACCACTTGACTTTAGGCAAAGTACTCCAAGCACTAAAACCTTTCAAAGCACTCAAATACGATATCCATAAAAGCGAAACGAAATGTTAAGTGGGCCTATGGAAAGGACTATAGGCAAAATTAAGCCTTCCAGCAATGATGTATTGCTGGAACCATGACAAATAACCCCATCATTTGCTGCTGCCAGTCCTCACGTCAATGCTTATGCTAGATGAATTTTTAAGGAAGAAAATATGGCTCTGTGCTTAATGCTTTCTCAACTCTTTTCCATCCCATTTTTTACCTTAGCTTTTTTGCAAGAAATTGACGGAAACAGAGTTAAACAGTCTTGGTTTAGCAAATAATCCAGAGAAAGTAAACTCGAAAGTTTTTTCTCACTTACGACCTCAAAGTACTATTGGCCTCTTTGTTTATTTAATAGGGCACAATTCTTTGCAGTGCGATTTTTGCAAGAAGATTGAACGATTTTTGGACATGTGGGAGCACTAAATAAAAAAAATAGCGAAAAAATTTCTTGCACATTAATTCTTACTTACAGAACCTACATTTGTTACCGCACCAAGAAAAACTTGAAAAAATCGTTTTTTGATATTTTATGGGTAATAAAGTATGAGGCATTTGGAAGATATGAACTATAAAAATGAATATGCACGAAAGTCCAAAGAATGAATTGCAATATAATAGAGATTTGAAAGAAATTTGACAAAATTAAAAAAATTAGAGCAATAAATAGAAAGCATAAAAAATATTTCAATAGAAATTATCATCCTTTTTGCTTGAGCAAAAGCTAATGATTTTTCTTCATTAAAAAATAGAGTTTGGTGAATGAGCAGCAAATTTCCAAAGACATTTGATTTTCAATATATATAAGTTTAGAAATCGATTTTTTAAAATCCCATATATTTGCAAAAAAACTGTAAAACTTACGTTCCACTCAGATCGTCAGTCGATATGTCGTCGAAATTTTCCGAGATTCCACTAGAAATTGACGAACTGTCCTCGAAACTGAAAGCACATGGATTGCTTCGTAGCTCTTGCTAGGGGCGTGGTGCCATCAACGGACAAGAGGGATGGCGAGGGGACCGAATGTTTGAGTGACGGGGGGGGGGGGGGATAATGTGGACGGGGCTGCTTTGCTGCATCGTGATGTGTCGCTCTATTTTACGTTAATTGCTTGATGTCATGTGTTTCAATGAATGACATAAGTGATGATCAATTGCTCTTTGACACACGAACTTTTACGGACTAGCTAGGCGCATCAGATGGCATGACGGCTTGCGCTAGCGAACTATAGACCAAATTTGGGATAAAATGAACATATTTCCATGCAAGACCGCTGATTTAGAAAACATGGAACTGGCCAGCCATAGAGCAGGATTAACTGTGCGCGATGGGATTTGCAAGAACAAGATCATGGTCAGTTGAAGGATGCGAAGGCCGACGACGAGGAACAAGAGGATCACGATCACGCCCCCCCCCCCCCCATGCATCACGGCATACGGGGAGATCCGTCCCAGGTGAAAAAAAAACTAGACAGTTCACGAACTTTGGGTCGAGGTATTTGCTTTTCAAATAAAGAGCATGGCAAGCTCAGAGATAGGATTTGGAATTTTAAATTCACAAATTTTTGCAGATTAGGTCAAAACTGGGGATAAGAAGGACGTCTCTTAAGCCGCAGCCCAGTCTAGAGAAAAATGAAGGAATTATAGACTTGGAAAGAACCTACAGACATTTATTTGATTGAATCTTATTTAAAAGCGGGCTGAGATTCTAGCTCGTCTAGAAACGGCTATAAGTTCTATAAAAAGTCCAAAATGGCTGGTATACAAAATTTCCGTAAATTTCGTTAGGAATGGCAACTGCGTCTTTGCACCTTATCTAACTTTGATAGAAGGATTAAGCGACAATAAAGTGCAGCACAGAAATTACAAGAATGAAAATCGTGTTTTAACCAAATTTGCATGGTTAGCTGTAATTTGTTTTGCACCAAAAATAGATATAGATATATGAAAATCTCAATTGTGTGAGATGCTGCATTTTATGCGCTGACCATATTATTATATTTTTTCCAAGAGTAAAATTAATTGCAACGCATTCACCATGACATTCCTCTAATATTATTGTTTTTTTGGAGTCTAACTTAATCGTTGTAAATTTTCAGTAAAGGTTATTAATTTGGTATTCCTCTAGCATTATTTTTTCAGGTGCAAAATAATCGTTGGAACTTCAAATAAACGGTTGTTGATTTTCCTGTAAGAAGTCTGAATCAAGCACTGTAGATTGCCTTCGATTCCCAGTACTGAAGCTGTGATGAAGTTTCAGATTATCCTAGGCGTTCTATGCTTCATAACTTTTTGAATCTAAAATCTCAAAATTTTAAAATCTGAAAATTAAAGAATCACCCGCTTTTTTCAAAAAAAAAAATTAATGTCATTGGAGATGTATGAGTAGAAACGGAATTGGACAATGACCAAGGCAGTGACAAATGACCAAATGTAGGAGTAAAAAAGGGAAATTGGAAGAACAGCTCCTTCTCTCTTGTAAAGCCTATTTACTACAGCGAATTCCCATTCCCCTCTGCTCGACTGCGCTACTTTAAAGCCCGTAAGCCCCTTGGGAAAACTTTTTGCAGATTTTTTACCCTGTTCAAGAACCTGAACATTTCCCATGCCTGTCATAACATAACATCTTTGAGTTTAAACTGGTTCAATGTGACTCTTGAGAAAAGCCAGATTCCCAGGGGTCAAAAAAATTGCTTGAGTATCTTTCCAACTAGAAAATGCGGATGAAACTATTGTGTCCCAAATGGAACATTTTGTTTGCCTAGTACAAAAAATGAAGACTTGAGACCACTATTGGTTGGGAATTTCTCAAGAGAAAATGACTTTCCCAAGGGAAGTATGTAAGAATACCAAAAGAGTCGTTTTACTTGAGGATGCAAAAAACGTCCTTTTATGTCCCAAATGGGACACTTTGCCTGGCTACTGCAAAACCTAAGATCGCCGAGCGAAGGTTTAATAAAGGCGAATCTAAAAGCATCCCCCTATGAGCCCTCAAGCACTAAGTGCACTTCAAAGAGTTCGGTCTCAAGGATTTCCCCGGAATTTCACATCCGTATAGTAAGGAACCAAACCCAGCCCATAAATCATGCCCGGACCTTTTGCAAGGGTCCACATGCTGCAATCGGACGAGTTTCCTGCAGCGGACGTCGCACCGCCAAATAGGATCAAAAGATGCCTAAGCAAATAAATGTGCGGGTAAAGTGCATTGTTCCAGGATGTGTGGTGTCTGGAATCTCTTTGCAATTCGTATGCTATTCCTTACAACATTTGCTCTTAGGAAGGGAGAAATAAACAAAGGGTGGTTGCGTACTTCTGCACTTTTACGGCGATAGCAAAGATCCGGGACGGAAATTATTTAATGCATGTAGAAACTGGGACTCGGTTACTTGGACAAGTCCTGATTTGGAAAAAAGAGGGTCGAGGAGGACATCATAGCTTTCCTCAAAGCTTAAAACTCCTTAAACTTGTTCATGATTGGTTCAAATTTTTATCAAGTTTAAAGCTTTACCAATTTTGAACAAGCCATAAAGTAGATGTGTTAGGATGGTGAATAATATTTTTTACACTTTTTTCACTATCTAGTTTCAAATAAAAAATCTGGAAAATTTCACGAAGGTTATTTCTGAGTTTTCCTATAGAGTACAGACTTCCATAAATAAGATTCTAGCTTTGTTTTTTGATATATTTTTGCCCCACGTTTTTGAGATGCCATAGGCATCATATTGCCCCATGGAGAGACAATGGCATAATAAATTCTAGAAAAAATTCAAACAGGAAAAGCACGAGCACAGAATAGAAACGCAAAAAAAGATCATTTGGTTAGTTTTAGAATATCGTCGTTAACTTGCTAGTGGTGCTGTATTTGCGGCAACAACGATACCATTAGGTAAATTTTGTCACTCCCTAACTATGGACTTGAGTTTTTCAAAAGTTATATTTCGGAATCAAAAAGGAAAGTGTAATCAAATTTACGCGATTATCTAACATTCACTTGTTATTTACTCTTGACTCAAAAAATTTACTGTATATCATTTTACTTTTCATTCTGTACGCCCCCCCCCTATGCCATATTAGCATGTAAAAAAAATCTTCCAGAATTTCTATAAACTTTCTTTGCCGTTCAGTTTAGAGTGTGACTTTTTTCGCACTTATGCAACTTATTGACCCAAGCTTTAAAAAATAGGAATTGACACGAATGGCTATCTAATATGAGACAAAAGGCTACAAGAACCAACAAAGGGCGGTAGAGTAACGAGGATACACCTCTCTATCTGTGTACACATACGCAAGGCAAGGGGTCAAGGGTGTTTCCTCGGCTCCGACTTGGCGCCAAAACATATCTGAGCAGGACAACATAGCTACCATCGCAAATTTTGGGAAAAAAACCTAAAAAATTTAACATTTAAAATTAGACAAACTCGAAAAAACTTTGGAAAAATTCAGAAAGAGCATCTCATGAATTTTTTTTATTTTCAATTTACTCATATTTACAAGAATTGGAACCAGTCCTGATGAGTTTTTCGCCCCTCCAGAAAACTTGCCAAATCCATCGCTTTGAGCATAAGTTGATTGGGAGAAAATACTTCAAACAAACTATTCCGCTGTCTTAAACGTTTTTACAAACTCCTCCTCCCAAAAAGCATACGAAAAGGTGTGAAATGTTCGAAAAAAACGAAAATAGACAACGTCAGCCATGCACTTCAGAATTTTAGAAAAAAAGCGTTGACGTCCGTGTTTTTGCTTGAAAACCTTGATTCATAAGAAAGAGGCATGTCATGTGTCATTTTTCTGTTACCTCTTGTTCAAAATAAATTTTTATAGAGCTTTTTAAAATTATTCAGGATAGTGAAAGAACCCTTATTTACGGTAGAAACAAAAAAGTGGTCTTTCTGTAATTATTAGGTTGTCCCAAAAGTAAACCGTATTTTTGAATTAATCAAAATATTTTTTTTCTGACAGACTTCGTGAACCATTCGATAGAACGAAACAAGCTTTGCAAAATGACCACCAAGGATCCGCCTAAGTCGCATTCTACGGAAAGTTTGAAGCCAAAATCGGAACAAAATTTATTACCTGAAAATTGGATTTTTGCGAAGAATAGTCGTACGAAATTCAAACTTGGTCGTTATACAGTGGGCACATACATAGTAGTACTCAAATATGCCTTTATTGGATTTTTTCCGAGCGTAGAAAGCGAGAAAAAAGAGATAGTCTGAAAATGGCAAACTCCGCCCCCAACCCCTCCCATATATGTCGTTGTATACTACAAGCCTTACTAAGTATAACCTCAAAACTTTATCCCTGTACGTGCTCTTATAGTTGAGAAATACCAAGTTTTACATGAAAAACCGGAAAAAAGTGGCATTTTGGCATTTTGGGACCCCTTTGTTTCTCAATTTTGAACTCTGAAGGAAATCAACCAAAAACATTTTTCGATATTACTATGTGTCTACTATATACGGACCAAGTTGGAATTCCGTAGGAATTTTCTGGAGGAAGATCCGATTTTTAGGGTAGCTGAAAAAATTTGATTTTTGGACCCAAATTTTGCCTGGATAGCGACTTAGACGGTTCTTTGGTGGTCATTTTGCAGAGCTTGCTTCGTTCTATCAAATGGTCCCCCAAGTCTGCCAGAAAAATAAGAACAGTTTAATTTATGCAAAAATACGGTTTACTTTTGGGACAACCTAATATATTTATTTGATGCCTTGGTGCCCCAGAAGAAAGAAAAAAAGCTGATCATGAATTTTTCAAAATTATTATATAAAACTCTTGCTATTCGAGCTTCTTCGCTCTACAAATTTGCATACTGCCAGGAGGCCGTGCTTCGTTCCTAAAAAATTCTTCGCAGTTATATTTAAAAAAATGTAATCGAGACCAAAAAGCTTTTTTCTTTCCCAAAGTTCACTGGACTCTCCCGGCTCCTGGCTTACTCTCATATGT